GATAGCGATTGATTGGTGAGAAATCAGACGAAAGAGCATAAAAAATTGCATCGAAATAGAAAGTCCAGTATCTTTTTGGAATGACATGGATAACAAGAAATTTCTTCCAGTTGAAGGAATTATCATCATACTTAGCAATCTTACTATTTTCTCAACAGGCAATTAATATTATACATTGAACTTTGCCACTAGCGAAAGAGTCTTTACTTTACTATTCTGTAGACTTGCGTTTCCCTCACTAGTTGTTGCCAGATACTTCCTCTTGAGAAAATACTGAATACACTATTTAAACGAATCGGTTACCTGTGGGTGGTCAATGTAACTTTCTGGTCTCTAGAACTTTACTGATGGTAGGACATATACATAACTTGGCATCTGGTCACTAGGCGGAGTGATGCGACACAGCACACTGTAGTTCAGTCATGGACGTTGGGCTTCTTACTCATTGATCACATTGTAATTTCAATTTACATACTTCTACCCGTGCAGATTAGAAGAGACCTACCAGCTACCGACTGGTGACTAGTTTGTGTGGATAAACCAGTTCCACAGAAGGTCAGTCATAGTCTTCATAGCTTATTGGTAAAGCCTTTGATTTCAGCACAGTGATGCAAGTAGGAATCATGTAGGGGACTAGTTTCCTCACGACTGCATGAACGCCTTGATGATGAGTGACAAGAAGGACGAAGTTCATGTCTAAAGCATTCTGCCAATTGAATACTAAAATCAAACTATGACAGTGATTGTTTTCTAAGCCCGAACCTCGTTTTCCATGGTTTGCAGTAATATTAACACGAGTTGTGAGGTACTGAACCATAAGATTAACGTTTACCAATACTGGACATGACTTCTGCTCGACTGAAAGCTTATATGGGGAAATCAGCTACTCAGACTATCCTACAGTCGGGTTTGTAGAATATTATATAGACATATATGCCGTAAAAATATTCATCTTAAATGATCATGGGACACTGGAATATATTGTAACACAAGTTGGGTGGACTACGTACCGAATTCAACTTTCAGGTAATACTTAGATTTGCGCCAACAATACTGACTACTATGTTTACCCTTATTATTTTCTCAGACGCAGAAATCTAAATTTCAGTTTAGATAGGTTTATTCGTATGTACAAAATATTTTCTAGGAGTGCTAACACCATTTACTATGTGCTTCATGTAATGATAAGATGAATTGTTATTGTTGTCGCTAGTGATAATTTCTAATTTTGCAAAGAAAAGCCACAATTGGGGCTCACAGAACGCTCCGGTCTGAGTACTTTAAGATCAATAAACGTTTCTTATTCGGATTCATAATCATTTCTTCTTAAAAGCTTTACGAAAATGTACTGTTGCTTGTATATATGACAGTTGTGTGTGAGGTAATATTGAAAACTGGTCATGACAGTAGTGCCAATTAATTTTCTAAATCTTTGATGATAATAATAATAATCAACTTTGCCAAGTGAAGAGTTTCGATAGCTATAGATTTCTTTAGTTACATTCAATGATTTCCAATACGTGAAAAATGTTGGAAAAGATGAAATAGTGTTTTTGAAATGAATTTCTTCAAAAGTGTCTTCATTAACTGCAAAATATCTAATCCGTCTCCTCGTTTTATCTTATTATATCAATTATTGAAACTGCTTTTAAACATATAAATATTGTCAGAAAACACTACTTTAACTTCTAATTATCTGCTGACTTGATTTCCTCTAATTTTTCCTTCCAAAAAGCGGTTCTACCTGCCTATCATGTTTTCTTCGACAATAATTGTGCGCTGGTTGACCTGCGTTTATATCTATAGAGTAAGCCTCTTCTGTCAGATGAAATTAAACCACCTAGTATAAAGTAGGCTGACTTCAGCAAAAACAAATCATGTGCGGGTCAAATTGCAACGCTACGCATCATCATAGAACAGAGTGTGGAATGGCAGTCGACTCTTCACCTCAACTTCATCGATTTTGAAAAGGCCTTCGATAGGGTTGACTGAGAAGTAGTTTGGCAGGCAGCTGCTTTAACACTACGGTTTTAGTGCCACAAACCTCTAACAGCCTCATTCAACAGCTATATGATGAGCCTACGTGCCAAGTGATTCACAATGGAAAGGTCAGTGATGTCTTTGAAGTGAAGACAAAGACAAGGTTGCCGCCTACTATCACCGATGATCTTCCTGATTATGGTCGACTGGACAGGATTGGATCATGCAACAAACTGTGACGAGTGAGAGGAGGGGCATATGCTGTTTGACCAATGAAAAGACCCTAGCAGATTGGAGTTCGCCGATCATGATTTATGTCTAATGTCTTGTCCTACAAACTCGAAGATCTACAGGCGAAAACCAACAAATTGACGGAAGAGGTAGCGTAAAGGGGACTTCAAGTGAACGTAGAGAAGATGGAGGTGATGAAGATACCCAACCAACAACAAGCACCGTGAAAAGGAGAAGTCCAAAAGAAATTGTCTCTTTTACCTACCTAGTAGCATCGTTTCAACTACAGGCGGCGACGGCACAGATGAGGATGTCAAAGCAGCCAGGGTCGGAAACACAGCAAGACAGGCCTTCATGCGTTAATCTGAAATCAGTGTGGAGATCTAGTGCACTCAGCATAAAGCGTGAACAACATCCGGATTTTCAACACTAATTCAGTCAAGTTGGTCGGTGCTTCTGTGTGATGGTTGAGAGACTTGGCGTGTCATGAAAAGCATTCCCAAAAAACTGCAGCTATTCATCAACAACTGCCAACTACGCTCGATACTAAAGACCAGATGGTCAGAATAATAAGAATAAGCAACCAACCAAGAACCTATCATCCATCATATATGTAGAAGAAAGTGAAGATGGACTGAATTGGACATACACTGAGAAGACCATTCGGGGACATGACGCGTCAGGCCAGGCAGTCGAGTGGAAGCGAAATGGAAACGACCAGTTGGGCGGAAGAGGAGGAGGAAGAATTGAAAGCTTAATAGCAGTCGTAGAGCCAAGTCAAGAAGACTGGAGAGAAGAGAGTGAAGTGACGACGTTCACTGAAGACCTGTGTTCCACTAGGAACCCAAGGGACAAGTAGAAATACTTTTATAATAATTATTTCATATCAATAAATATTTGATTCTTGTTCAAGATATTTATGCGGTGATATATGTTTGTTTGAAATACTCCCTTCTGAAGCCGTAAAAAGGGATAATAACCCTCAGTACTGTATATCCATGGTTTATATCAACTAAGGTCAGTGTCTTATGAATCCATATATCCCCGAAAAACGTCTAAATGAATCAATGGTTTTCAGTTATCTCTTGTTCCTTCCATTCATTATCATTGTGTCAGCTACAGTGACATCATAGTTTGCTAACTATCAGTTATAAGGTATTCAACTGGTATATTAAATTAGTTTCAGTAAATAACCAATTTACAAAAAGCCTATAAAATCTTTGAATTGTTCATATCTGAGTTTATCCATGAAGAATAGAACCCAAATTAGGCTTACAAGCGTTGTGAAGGTCAACTTCAAGATGTATCATACGAATGCTACCTTATAGAATTTCATAGTAGACTATTTTAACATGTCTTACAATTACGCAAAATGAAAAATCTTTCTAATTTGATAAGAATGCATAATATTTAATAACAGTAATAGTATTTTTTTAAAAACAATTTGTACAGAAAACAAACAAACAACCAAATAAGAAATGAACCTAATTAACAACACAATTTTAATGAGAAAAAAAAAGGCGAACAGTTTGATGATACTTTCCTTGAAATTTTTATTCATTGTCTTTCTGATTCATTTTATATTTTGTGGAAGAATTTGAAAAAAGGAAGGAGAAAATACATGGGGAAAAGAAGCTTAGAGATAAGTTTTTCTGTTAAAACAAAAAAAGGAATTTAACCTAGTGTATCTTAGATGACATGGCTTGATTTTTATCAGGCAATTCAGTATGTACAGTGATTCATGAGAAATAGAAAGTGGTAGACAGATGCATAATAAAAATTATTCGATTAACTGTGTGTGTGTGTGTGTGACTTGCATCACTTAGGCGATATGAAAGCTGACAAGTGTTAATCGTAGCTATATGAATAATAATAATAATAGTAATAATAATAATAATAGTTAAATGGTAATAAAAGCACTGCACTAGTTGATTAACGAATGTTCATGTCTTCACTGATCACCAGCTAGATTAATGCAACTGTGTCAAGAATTACTAGTACAAATGTTGTTCAACTAGTGTCGTTTTGAAATACAATATATATATATATATATATATATATATATATATATATATATATATATATATATATATATATATATATATATATAATGTTTGTGTATACATGAAGCCTAACACTTCCTGAACAGAATATCATACTCTTGTATATTTTTATCTTTACAGTTGAATCACTCGATTCTTGTTTCTTTATTTGTCTTGAAGATCAACACCTGAAAATTCTAGAAAAGTCTTTATATGATAAATTTAGACGAGGATTAATTTAAACAAAAATTCACCAATTCTCAACAGTTTTTGTGTTTTTGTTTTAAAGAATATTAAAGTGAAGTAAAGAAAAGTTAGACATGTACACATTGAAATAATTTTATGAAATGTATAATATGATTAAATACACATCATTATCTTATTAATTGAATACTTTTTGAAATGCATGAATCAAATGTTCAATAATTCACTGGTTTCAATTATTTAACATTGAACATTTGTATGCATAAATAAAAGAAAAATGATTTTTTTTTTTTTGTTTTTTTAAATTAAAGACAATATAAAGAAATGATACTTTTAACCAAGTAGATTTAAAAACTAAAATTTGAAAGATCTTTCCCTTTTAAATAATATAACATTTGATGAGAAGCATAGGTGAAACGATTGAATTGAGAAAAAAAGGGTATAAATTTTCCTGTTTATTATTATTATTATTTTATATAAAACAAATTAATTTTTATTTACTCATTAATTAATTTTCCAATTGAAAATTATCTTTAGTAGATTTTATTGATTTCGTTTATTTTTATACTCTTCATTTGATGAATGACCAATACTTTTCTTACATTTAATTGTTGTTTGTTGTATTAAAGCGATTAAATCTGGACGATTAAGTTTTTGTAAACAATTGAGAAGTTGACCTAAATTAAGCATATTATGTTTACATATATGTTGAATTAATGATACAGTTATAGTTAAATCATTGATAGGATTGGATAGATTATTACAATTGTTATTGTTGGTTGTAACGGTATTCATATTATCTAGATTATGCGTATTTAAATGCGATTCAACAGTAGCCTGAGCTTCCATAGCAGCTGATAGTAAGTCAGAAGCATCCGATGGCATTTGATCAAATCGGTTTGTATCCAAATCTAAAAGGAAAGTTTTAAAAAAAAAGATTTGAGCACATATCTTAGTATAATTGTTTTTATATCGTACAAGAAGTGTCTATCGTGGCTTGATGATGTAGTGGATAACACGCTGGCGTTTGAACCGATCGCTCACGAGTCCGAATCCCGGTGGGAACAACATCACTCACTAGGAAGCAGGTACATCCAGCTGACAAGTCCCAAATAGGACGAAATACGCATCCTAGATTCCACTACTAGCCACAATCCATCATCAACATATATTAGTGACTAAATAGCTAGATAGACAGTACAACAATAAATCAAATACAATCGATGAGATAAGTAGTCAGTTGTGAATTTGTTCCACTGATGAAACTCGCATATATGTGGTGAAGATGGATTGATTGGTAACTCAAAAAGCAGAAGTCTAACATAAATCGATAATAGGATTCAAAAATGTTTAACAATAGTCAGGCTAAGAACTTGTATAAGTCAGTCAAGTAATTCTGCATCAACTTAAGTCTCTATAGGAAGCTTTATGATTATTGGTTAGTGTACTGGTTTCGTTTCGTTCGCAATAATTACTATTTCATATTAGTTTGTTTACTGTTTCTTATAATATTCTTCGAATTCATATCAACATTTTTGTGGTTTTTTATTCTTCAAAGTACTTCAATCTGATGAACTGAGACAATACAACTTATTAATGGACTATATCTTATTATAGTCTATTTCATAACTGGCGTTGGAATCCAGAAAGCGCGTTTCGTCCTATTTGGGACTTGTCAACTACATGAGACTCGAACCCAGTGCCCACCACTTCAAGTGCCAAGACCTTATTCATTAGGGCACGAGAGCCACAAGGACCAATGAACAATTTCGTTATCTTATTTTAAACAGTTAGTGAAAGGTGTCATTAAGAAGATTAATCTGTCAGAGATGTGAATAAAATTCCAGAATTCACTTATACATAACTTGGTCAAAACGGGGGATAAAAATGTTGTTAATTAACCGTAAATCCCTAAAACCTTTTGCAACCACCAATCGTTTTGCTTCAAAGTTTCAAGGAGAAAACACGTGAACGAAAAGTCAATAGGATTATCTCCTTTTTCTGTTTATCGAGAAACTGAACAACTATCAAGGAGTAGAACCTTGAAGGTTATTGTCCAGGAGTTTGCATATATAAATAACTTTGGTTATACCAAGTAGTCACTACAAGAAAAAACAAAGTGACGACTGAGGAAGTAAGGTCACTGAAAGATGTGAAATTTATAATCCCACTGATTGTTTAATCCACTTCACTTTCATAAGTATAAGTGTTGTTGGATTGCCAGTAATATTAATGAACTGAAGTTGTTTGTAAAGCTATTCCAAAATATGTACAACAAACGTACATTTACGGTATCACTTGCATTATCGTCAGTATAATAGTAATCATATCAATAGTTCACATGTTTATAGTTAGATTATTTTTGTCTCAAAGTACTGCATAGTTAACTAAGTATTATCTGAGCTTGATATGAAGTAAGAAATAACTATGAGTGGCTCTACAGGCCACCCTAGCAACAACTGCAATAACCAATTTAACTTCTTTATTTCATGAGAATTTGCTTTTTCAAATAAAAGGAAGAAACCTAGTTGGTTACTTTAATCATTGCTAAGATCAAGAAATAACTATCGTTTTCACAAATTTATTTTAATCTAGAGCATAATTGAATAACTTCTCTGACCATGGTAATATGAATGAGCATGCTTAATAGTTTTGAACATAAAGATGAAGTTTAAGGTTGTGAACTGTCAGTGTTTCGGGTGTGACTTTAAAGGCCATCATAGCAACTGCTGAAATAACTAACCAAGTTACGGGATTTTGTTGTCGCAGCACCTGTTAAGGTGGTCTTTAAATTCATTCAACTTTATAGGACACTGTAACAACAACTGCAATAAAATATTGGATGCCTTGGTTTGTAAAAAAAATGTTACTTTCTAGACGAAATTAACAAACCTGATTGGTTAATTCAGTATTTGCTAGGGTGGTGGTTAAATTCACTCGGGATTTGGCTATGTATAGACAACTGTAACGATTTCGGTGACTTTCAAGGCAACCGTAGTAACTGCTGCAATAACCAATCAGATGGCAGTATTTTGACTTGGAAGGGAGTTTTTCCCAAAATAAAGGAACGTAGTTGGTTAGTCAGCAGTTGCTAAGGTGACCATCGAAGTTACTCATGATTTATGGGCGACTTTACAGGCCACCCTAATAAAGGGTCAAAATAACCAATCACTATCCTGATAGACATGTACCAGATGCATGAATTGTCTAGGCTTGTCATAAAAATGCCTCCATGACTAAGTATATTCTTATTAATTATTGCCGTTTCGTGACTTTGACGAATGTTACAATTCTGTTGGTTGTCTTTGAAGTACAGTTGAGTTTATGCTAGTGTAAGTATATGCCTTTAATACGATGTGGTTCAGGTTGTATGAACTGTTTGACAGAACCGGTTGTTGAGACTGTTGTGTGGATCTGTGTGTAATACCCCCCTTATTACAAGTACAATACTTATTCTCTTTGCGTCATTCCGGAGTACTAGTGCTAGTGAATGCTAAGTGTGGATTAATTTAATGGGATAATTCAATTCCCAAATTAGCACAACAACGTCTTTTAAGTCCCTAGGAATTCTAAGGCAACATTCAGTAAATTACTTTGAAGGGTCTACTAGGAATAAACAGATGTTTGGAGATGACGTTTTTGACACTGTACTTTCATATTAAAACAGTTTTCCTTAGGTGGATTTAGATAACTAATTAAACAGCTTCTTTATGAAATCCACTTTCAGTTGATATATATTGAATTATTTGTATATTTGCACCCATCTAAACAAGAAAATGATGTGAATGTTCAGTGTATCAACAGAAATAGCTACTACATTTCTTCCTTTACCCCACTACCAGAATGCTGGATGTTGCAGCCATACTCAAAAATAGGAATTAAACTTACTGATTGTATTAGCAAGTTCTTGCCATCCATTTTGAGATAAACGATAACAAATAACTCCAAGTATATTTAAAGGGATCACTGTTAATGGTTGATCAGGGCAATCTAAAAATAATTTTTACAAAAAATTATATTATTAACAGTTTTGTATATTTGTCATTTAGATACAAAGCAATACATTTTAAATATTTCAGTAAAATGAAACTGAATAGTCAAAATGATTTCCTATCCTGAGTTCGATCTCTGGCAGAGTTGTGAGTGTCGGCTGCTGAGGAGTCGCATAGTAAGTCGAAATAGCTGTTCAGTGATCCTAGATTTTCAATGCTTTTCCAGCTGATGTTAGCATATTTGTTTTTAATAGTCACACTGGACCGTAGTAATCTTTGGTTAAAACAGGCTGATCTTAAGATAAACTAATCACTTCATATGTTTATATCTTGATTCATATTATATGCATCGGTTTGTTTCTATTTCACAAGGTAGAACATATAAATTGTCATGTTGATTGCAATCGGGTAGACTGGAAATAATAACGATTAGTAGAAACGCTAGCAAGAGCTTCAGTAAAGAGTCGTGCTTTTACAGTTACTCCGAAAGATAAAACTTGCGGCTTATGTTAGATGTCAGTCTTAAAAGCAGATTCGAGGTGTTAGATTTTTTATTTTCATTCAGAAGTAACAAGTCAACTAATCCGAAGTTAAGGAACATGCTTTTAAATGCCGTGAGTGTATCCACTAGAAAAGACTTGGCAGTAAAATCCAACCCAGACTATTCGTCTATAAGGATAAACTAATTGTGTAAATCTAATATCGCTATATAGACACGGACGCAATGCCGCAATATGTTGTTTGTCTGTACTATACTGAATATCAACTATGGTTAAGTCGGTGATGTACCTTAGGTCTTTTTACAATATACTAGTATCCAAACGAACTGCGAATAAAGAAAAACTATAAAATACTCAGCAATCCCTATTTAAATAATATCTAATGATAGGTGTAATAATGATCTATTAATGATGGGTAACGGCTAGCAGTGAAATCCAGGGCGCGCGTTTCGTTCTTTTTCTCAGTAGCTGAATGTATCTAGCTTCTGGTGGGCAATGTTTCTGTTCCTACCAGGACTCGAACCCAGCACCCTTCGCTTCAAGTGCCTCAGAACTACTAACTGAGCCACGATAGCCACTCCTTGTATAGTCTTTGATGGTATAGCTCGTTGATTGAACCGAAATGATCACCAACTATTGATATATGGGCTCTTGTGCAGATGACTCGAGGTTCAATCAACAATAGAGATTCACCAGATATGACACCAAAGACAATAATGATGATAGCTTGAAGCATAAAAGGTGTCACAGTTCACCACTGTTATAGCACAGACATAAGTGAATGAAAAGGCTATGAATTACAAATTATTTTTATTGATAATCATTTTAAAGTAAATACTATCACTTCAAACTACTATAAAGTAATTAACCCAGTAGTAACTTTACCATCGCTATTACAATGTGATAATTGACTGGTAAATTTTGTTGTTCGTTCTAAAATAGAATTCATATTCATTTGGGAGATAGTTTTAGTCAACTTATCACATTACTATAACAACCCAGAGGTTCACAAAACCCCTTCAATACTTGTCAACTAATAAATCCTGTTTTATTAATCTTTTTAGTTGGCTAGAATTAGTGTTCTTAGTTTTTGTTATTATTTACAATATGTAAACCTTTTGAACCTATAAATGGTATTTGGTATAGTTTAAGAGTTGTGAACACTGAAGTGTGCGGTTACTTGGTATCATATGACCATTTCGTATGCTTATCAAAGGATTAGGAATTGTCTGAACTGTATTCAATGATTAGGCATAACCTACGTTAGTATTACAGTCTACTAAGTGCTTTTTAATCCTGAAATTATATGACGATGAATTAAGAAACTCCGCTGAAATGCTGATTATTGATACTTGGTGATGAGTGAAGGTGAAATGAGAATTTGTACCACAGCCGGATTCAAACCAGTGACCATCCGAATTTTTAGCCCAATGCTCTACCAACTAAGCTACAAGACCCAACTGATGACCAGATTTTTATTTCACTTCAATCACCATGTGAGTTCGTGATGCGTTACTATCTCTTGATCGTATTCAAACTGGCTCCCTAGTCGGGATTTCTCATTCTAATCCAAACCTAACTGAATTAAAGAGGGGGAGTAACATACTAACTATCTGAGATAACCTTGGTTTGGCAGACTAGTGTTGATACTGTGTGATATTTGAAGGTGAAATGAAAATTTGGACCGTCGCGAGATTAGAACCAGAAACCATTGGATTTCCGGCTCGATGCTCTATTAGATGAGCTACGAGGTCCAACAATCGAACCAGAAACCCGGTGGTCTCTGGTTCGAATCTAGCCGCGGTCTAAATTTTTACTTCACCTTCAATCATCACAGTATCAATACTAGTCCCCAGAACCATGGCTATCTCAGATAGCCAGAATGATGATCAAAATACTGAGAGTTTAAGGTGTTTTCATTAATCTGTATTATGCATATAAATTTCTAAAAATTTACTGAAATGAAGAATATTAAACGAGGCATTTATTTAATATTTATTTCCACCGGATATGTGAGCGGGCGGATACCTTCTATTAAGAACTAACTAGAAGTAGGGGTGTCAAGATATATTATGTTTGATAGATATGGTTAGCAATTCAATAAGTATGGATGTTTATAATCCTGGGATTTTAAAAATCTGAAGACAGCTAAAAGAAGAGTATATTGTTGATGAAAGTCTACCTTTCTAGAAAGGATTTACAAGTAACCTTGGATGTTTACAGGATAGTTTATGGTATGTGGACATTTCGTTTCATCAGTTTATAAGAAGCAATAACTAGTGCGGAGTAAAATCCTAGTGTGAGATACTTTTGAAAGGTTGGTAGAAACTTTTATCTGCTTTCATCATTGGTTTTAAATTACCAAAAATAGTATATGAGTGTTAGTGATACTGAGTTTGGTTCAGCAGATGCTATCAATTTCGTTATAATGAACACACGATAAGCTGCAAAACCTTTAGTATTATTATTATTATTTTTCCCTTCGGTTCCTACTGGAACATAGGGCTTCAGTAGCACGCCTACATCCCACTCTGTTCTCTTCTCTGCACTCTTTCGAACCTGGCTCCACCAATGCCCACAAGCTTTCATTTCTCCCTCACATCATCTCCTCCATGTCACCTTCAACTGGGAGGCCAAACTCGTCGTTTCCCCTTCAGATTACACTCGAGGACCGGCCTGACACGCCATGTCCCCAAACCCTCTTCTCAGTCCATATACAACCCAATCCATCTCCACTTCCTTCTGAATAATTTGTTGAGCGATGTGTTCTCGGTTGGTTCGTTGTCAGCCAGCCAGAGTTCAATGTTGCCTATTCTTATTATTCTGGTCATCAGTGTCGAGTGAGCATAGTCGGAGTTGTTGATGAATGTCTGTAGTTTGTTGGAAATGCTTTTCGTAATGCGCCAATTCTCTGAACCATCACATAGAAGCACTGACTTGATGTTGGTGTTGAGAATCTCGATCTTGTTCACGCTTTGTGCTGAGTGCAGTCCAGTGCAGTGCTGCAGTGCAGTAGATCTCCACACTGATTTCCGAATAATGCATGAAGGTATGTCTTACTGTCATTCCGATTCTGACTTTGACATCTCCATCTGTGCCACCACATGTAGTTGAAACAAAGCTGCCTAGGTAGGTGGACGAGACAATTTCCTTTAGTTTTCTCCCGTTGTTGGTGCTTATTGTTGATGCTGTTGTTGGTTGGGTGTCTTCATCACCTCCGTCTTCTCTACCTTCATCTGAAGTCCCATCTTCGCTGCCCTGCTTTTCTGTCAACTTGTTAGTTTTCTCCTGTACATCTTCGAGTTTGTGCGATATTAGACACAAATCATCGGTGAAATCCAAATTTTCTAAGATCTTTTCATCGATCCAGCGTACGCCCGTCTCCTCGCTCCTCACGGTTTGCTGCATGATCCAATCGACTACAATCAGGAAGATCATCGTTTATAGTAGGCAGCAGCCTTGTCTTACTCATGTTTTCACTTCAAAGGTGTCACTGAGCTTTCGGAACACCTTCAGTAAAGCAGCCATATCGTTTGGATGCAATAAATTTAAGAAACTGAACTATTAGGAGTTGAAGGGTGTCAATGGTTTACAAAGTATTTCAGAAGCCTTCATATTAAACACGATATACTAATTCTGAAAGAAACTGGATAAACAACATGAGAGATTCATTCATTTCAACATTCATTATATTCAAAAGTAATACTTTACTATTACTTACTTGATGAATTATTTGAAATATCAGATTTTCCAAGTAATGGTTCCTTTTCATGACCAACAACAAGATCAGTATATTGAAGATGATTACTATCATTATTATTATTATTATTTATTTATTATTATGATTATCATCAGGAATTCCACTGATATTCTTATTGGTTAAAGTTATAGATTGAGGTGAATGATGTGAAAATCCTGTTGAGATTCGATGATGATTATCCATACAATTACTATCTAATAAATCATTCTTATTACAACCAATACTATAGGCATCGGATAGTTTAGAATTTTTTGAAGTTTCTCTTTGTTTCCATAATTTATAAACTACATAAGCAAGTAATGATAAAATTATTAATCCCATAATAGAACAATAAATTGGTAACATTTGATTCGGTTTATTACCATTCCCTGGAATTTCTAATTCTTCATCGTATGTTGAATAATCTGTTTGGTGAAGAATAAAGACCAAAAAAAAAAGGCAAACAGATAATAATTAGAGTATATTGGAATTCACATCACAAAAAATACAATGGTAACTGTTGTTTTAATGCTCACTGGGAGGCAGGTACTTACAGCTGACAAGTTCCAAATAGGATGAAACGCGTATCCTAGGTTGCACTTCTACCATTAGCCACCATTAATATATGGTGGCTGTTGTTTATTTAAATAAGAACTGTTATTTGTTGTCAATCTTGAGCAGTTTACAAGTCATGATAGATTTGAGTTGTTGAAACTGTCAAGTTAAGTAGATAGAAATTTCAATTTAAGATTTACAGGCTTTGAATTAGTGGTTGTCAGAGAAGTAGCTAACTCAGAAGAGAACCATATTCATTGCTAACCTTGTTAGGGGTAGTTCTCCAATTAATGATTAGCGAAGGACACTCACTATCCTTCCTACTGAAGTCTAGACAATATAAAGTCGATTACCCCTCAACGTATGTAATTCAGTCCTACAGGAAGTCAGTCGATGCCCAAATAACTCAGTGGTAATGTTACTAACCACAATACTAAGTGGCGCGGGTTCGGGCCTCAGGCACGATAACAGTTCCGTCAAGGTTGAAGATACACCTGACGAGTACCAGAAAGGACGAAACCTGGGTCGAACAGGGCTTCTCCCTGATTGCCTCCATCCAACTAACACACTTTACACATACTCTTTTTTAAACATTTTATAGAGTTGATACACTCATTTTAAACTGGATCTTTAGAATAGTTACTTTCAGTAAGAGAGAATGTATTATCCTCAAGTTTCGGAAAACATATAAACAGTTCTATATACCTAACAGCCTAAAATGCCTAGAAGATTTGGATTTCGCCGATCATGATTTATGTATGCTGTCTTGTTGCACAAACTCGAAGATGTACAAGAAAAACTAACAAGTTGACAGAAAAGGCAGGGCAGCGAAGATGGGACTTCAGATGAAGGTAGAGAAGACGGAGGTGATGAAGATACCCAACCAACAACAGCATCAACAATAAGCACCAACAACGGGAGAAAACTAAAGGAAGTTGTCTCATCCACCTACCTAGGCAGCATTGTTTCAACTACATGTGGCGGCACACATGGGGATGTCAAAGTCAGAATCGGAATGACAGTAAGACATACCTTCCTACATTATTCGGAAATCAGTGTGGAGATCTACTGCACTGCACTGCACTACACTGCACTCAGCACAAAGCGTGAACAAGATCGAGATTCTCAACACCAACATCAAGTCAGTGCTTCTATGTGATGGTTCAGAGAATTGGCGCATTACGAAAAGCATTTCCAACAAACTACAGACATTCATCAACAACTGCCGACAATGCTCACTCGACACTGATGACCAGAATAATAAGAATAGGCAACATTGAACTCTGGCTGGCTGACAACGAACCAACCGAGAACACATCGCCCAACAAATTATCAGAAGTAAGTGGAGATGGATTGGGTTGTATATGGACTGAGAAGAGGGTTTGGGGACATGGCGTGTCAGGCCGGGTCCTCGAGTGTAATCTGAAGGGGAAACGACGAGTTTGGCATCCCAGTTGAGGGTGACATGGAGGAGATGATGTGAGGGAGAAATGAAAGCTTGTGGCATTGGTGGAGCCAGGTTCGAAAGAGTGCAGAGAAGAGAACAGAGTGGGATGTAGGCGTGCTACTGAAGCCCTATGTTCCAGTAGGAACCGAAGGGAAAAAGTGATAAGTAATAATAATAATAATAACAGCTTAAAATAAATGCTTAGTATGTTATTTCAAACGGTATGATCAATAAAAACGTAATTCCACAAAACGCTCAGCCAGTACTACTTCAGACATTAGTAGTGACAGTTTGATGACCTTCCTTATAAATTGGGATTCATATGGGTTCCGAATCAGAATCACATGAACAAAACTTGGTACTGAACAGTCAAAGAATATGTACATCTAACAATAAGGATAGATAGGATCAGAAAACATTCACTTCATTGCTGAAAGATGTTTTGACTG